GTAACAACTTTACACAATCCAATTCCTACGTAACATGCATCATATACCCAATTATAGAGTTAGAACCCCACCCTTACCTTGGATCGAAGGTTGCTCTACAAAATTCCGACTGAATCCCGCTTTGCCTCTTTTCCTCTTCTCTGTAACTTCTACGTTCCTTTTCTCTCTTCCAACCCTTATTCTTCTTCTCCTTGACAAAACTATTTTCCTTACTGTCAATCTAATTTCTATTATTATAACCAAACTTAATAATAATAGTATTATGTCGATTGGGCCTAATTTTTCACACCCCTTTAATACTTCTTCTATCACCAAAACAAGTCCAACAACTAATGCAATTAATTTCAACATTATTGTTATTATTAATCAACCAATTAATTAATTAATAATAATCTTAATAACTTATACCAACAATTCTCAACATCTCACAACTTCAACAAATAATCCAAAAATAATTTAATTAAATAATTAATTAAATTAACGTGCGTTGCATGAAGCTCTGTATTTTTGAGGTGTATTGTGGTATTTCCATAATATCTCTCTCTTTATTCTAGGAATAAGGTATTTATAGAGGCCTATGAGCCTGCATTTAGGGTTTCTCGGGAATAACATCTGCTCACCTAGTTATAGTAGTAGATCATTGAATCCTTATTTCCTATGGAGGTATGGTTTATTCCCTTGACTCTTTTTCTGAAGTATCTTTATTCAATAAATGTCATTTCCCATGTTTTCCCATACTAGGCAATTGGGGAATGTCGTGGGCGTGGTAATACCCCTTTTTGGCGGTTGGGTTTCGTCGCCCCTTGTTGCCGGCATGGCTTCCTTGCCCTTAAGAATCCTTCACAATTATATAACTACACAAGTCTATCTGTGCACTTGTTTTATTCTCTATAAATATGAGTGAAACTCTTCAGGATACACATGTTCTTGGAGTTAACCCACCTGCTCCAGAGTTTCCAAGGTATTAAAGATTCATTTTTGATGCAATGAAGAACACATTGGGAATATGTTCCCATCCAGACTTTAGACTAACCTATAATCGCCATATTTTATAACGCTACCATAATTAGGGGTGTTCGCGGTGCGGTTTGGGCGGTTTTGAAGCAAAAAATCATCCGAACCGCAAGAGAAAAAAACATGCGGTTCGGTTTGGTTCAGTTGGCTTTTAAAAATAAATCTGAACCAAATCAAACCAAACTAATGCGGTTTGGATTGGTTCGGTTGGTTCGGTTTTTTACAAAAAAAATTATTAAGTCATACAAACAAATATAGAGGAAAATATAATTTTGTATTTAATTGTTCGTACATTACCATAAAAAAATTTATAATTGTCAAAATAAGTTTATAATTTGATACATAAAATTGCGTATTATAATTTTATCTAAATCTAAAGAATGATATAAACAAGATTGCATTCTTAAATAAATATTATACAAAGAATACGATAAAATATATTTTGTGAAAATAGTATTTATAAATGAATAATATTTTATTTTTTTATGATTTATAAATTAAAATGAATATAATACAAAGTATGATAAAATATACACATAATACATGTTTATTTCTCTAAAGAATTAAAGAAATATATATTGGTTAGTAAGATTTTATAACATAATGCGGTTTTGTTTGGTTTGGTTCGGTTTGTAAAATACAAACCGCAAATTGAACCGAACCATGCGGTTCCGCGAGAAAATGACCCAAACACATCCGAACCAAATGCGGTTTTTTGCGATTTCGGTTTAGTTTGGTTCGGTTTTGCGGTTTTCTATTGGGCCGGTTTAGTTTTGAACACCCCTAACCATAATAGAGACAAACTCTACATTCAAGACCTTTCCCGACTCTAAATTCACATAAAAACGTCAAGGAACCCTCGTTGATGGTCCTTAACATTGGTTTCCTATTCAGTTAAGTTATCTCTAACTGAACCATCAATGCTAATTTTCATTCAACCCTGATTTGATTTTTGTCAAACAACAATAATAATTTTCAGCACCCTTCTATATTTAACCTCAATCTGCAATATGTCCAAAATGTCCCGCTCTAATATGTGTTGCACAATTCGTCCATTTGATAAAATTCTTATCCCAAATCTAAAAATTATCTATTTCCAAATAAAAGTGACATTCGAGCGAGATATGGGTTGAAGACTCTATACGATTATTGTACAAGCTGCACATAGAAGCCAAACTACAACTATAATTTTACAAGTTCACATAACTAGGAAACTTTATATAAATCACTCACTACAGAGTGAAGAACACCGATGAATATTTTTATTCACTAATTTGTAGATAATTGTTTGAATTTCCAACAATAGTGTTGATTTGTTTTACACAACTATTAAAAATTTACAAAAGCATTTACATATTTAATTTTATAGGTTGAATTATGAATTTGGAATACAATGGTGCAAATTCTTTTGATTAATAAAATAATAACAATTACAAAAAAAATGAACACAATGAAATTTTTTATTTGAATTTTAATTAGATTCAAATTCTAATATTGATATGCAGTCTAATACTATTTAATAGTTGAACTAGAACTTTTAGACACAAGTGCAAATTTCATTTTATTTTCCACCTATCCTATATATATTTTTTGCTTGACCTCATAAATCTATAGATCAATTGGCATCCTTAACTCATATTATGCACCGAAAATGTCTCCTTTTACATATGTCGTGATTCTCCTATACTCCTCCTAGTAGCCACTTATTCTTATCTTTCACCACATTAGATAATGTAGTGGACAAGGAACGTTCAATTCCTAAATTATTATTCCTATATTCATGTTCAAAGGTCAATAGAGGAAGCATGTGGATTCTCTTATACAAGAAAAACATATCAACACCTTTGTGCTGGCTTAAAGCACTTCATCCACCAATGCTCAATCATCTCCACTACTCACTAGTGACTTGACATATGGTTCTAAATTCATGGTTTTCAATTGGGTTTCAAAACATAATATATTAAATAATTATTCAGAACCACCAACACCGTTCATTAAATATGCCATACTACATTAAACTATTATGCACTAGTACTTTTTTCCCTCTTATAATCCCTATTCTTATGCACTATAGCATACGTGGAAATTTATCATTGGTTTTGATTAATATATTATATTCTCAACGTCAATCCGCTAATTCACAATGAGACAATAATAATATAAAAATAATGTGAAACTTAACTATTCTATTACACCGACACAATATTGATTTGAAAGTGATGTGAGACTTAACCATTTAAAATTTAAAATTTAAATAATATAAATATTATCTATGATGGAAGTATTTGTGTTTGGGTAGGTGCCTTGTAGACACTGACTATATGAAATAGTGCAACAATATCTTCCAATAAATTGGACAAAGATTCAAGAACTTTATTGAAGAGTTTGTTTGTTTTGTTATGCTAGTAGTGCCAAGCTCCCAACACAAATGTTCCAATATTTGTCATTCCAACGTGGATAGCATAATAGAAGGACAAAGGTTTCTTCAAAAGTGCTTCTCTGTCATAATTACTTCTCATCTCTCTCTCTCTCTATCTATAGATATTCCTCAACCTAACTAACTGTGGAGGATGTGAATAATTGGCGTTCAACAACAGGTATGTGCTTCTTCTTTCTGTTTATGAATTAACTGCTTAAGTTCACTTACACAATATCTATATCATGAGAATTGATATCTTGCAAATCAATTCAACTTTTTTCTTTTGACAGGATGCAAATCAATTCAACTTATTTATATGTTATGTCACATAATCGCTTATCAATTAACTATATGATTCAAATATAAATATTTCTCAAACTTTTTATCATGAGCTTTTTTTTAATCATATAGTAAATTGTATTTATGAAATATGTTCATTACACATCTAATAGAGTTGTTAATATGAGTTACTCGAGTTCGGGTCAAAAAACTGTTATAATATTAGCCTACAAATTATTACTTCAGCCGGATTTTATCTAACTCTAAATACTTTTTTTAATAAAAAAATCAAAATGAAAAATCCATATTATGAATAAAATAAAAATTTATATTATCTTAAACATATTATATTATCTTTTATAAATATTATAATATATTTTAAAATATAATACATGTTTAAATTGTATAAAATAATACTCGAATATTTAACATAAGAGAAATTAATAGAATACGAGTAAAGATGTTGATTATATTAATATATAATATTTAAAAGAGAAAGATTAAATAGAATAAAGATAAAATTTAGTGAATTGAAAAAAATTAATATATTATTTAAAGTAATATAATATAAAAATTAATATAATTTTTTTATTTAAATTTATAATTATACAGACCTAATGAACTATCCACGGTTCATACGGATTAGTTCTAATAGATAGCAGACTTTTTAAGACTGAATTAAAAAAACTTTAAAATATCAGTTCTAATTTAAAATCTCAAACTTTATAATTCTTTGGACCGGACAGACCGGTCCATATGGATCAGCAGATTGTAACAACTCTAAATATATTTATACTAATATATGAGAATGTAAACGGTGACCTCAAATTTTAAACCGGACACCTTTTAATATTTTTATAATATCAGAAATACCCTTAATAAAATAAATAAAATGGTTGAATGAAATTTTCAATAATTCATTTAAAATTTTAGTTAACGAAATTTTCAGTAATTCATTCAAAATTTTCAAAAATATATATTTTGTAAACTTTGATAAAAAATATAAAAGTTTTAATCTGAAATTTTGAAATTTTCTAGATTTTGAAATTGCTAGTAAAATTTTCATACATTTTTATCGAAAATTTGAAAATTTCTAATATTTTTAAAATTTCTGATTTAGTTTTAGAATTTGTAATAAAAACTTAAATTATTTAAAATTTGACAACTTTTAAGCAAAAGTATAATAATGAGAGGTGAATTCCTCTGATATTTGTCTAAATTTAGCATGCCTCATTACTATAGTTGGTGTACGATCGGCTACTATAGTTGGTGTACGATCGGCCGTTAGATGATGAGACTTATCGGACCTTATGGTAAGTCATCTAGAGCAGATTTTGACTTCTTTTCTAACCGCCAAAAACAACCACGATTTTTTCCGTCATCCATGGCTTCAAGGAGAAGTTCTGGGAGATGGATTCGTGTGATCTCAGAATTCGCGGTTGTTCCGTCTGGTGTTTTTGGCAAACACCCTGGCGGAATGAGTGTAGCCTGTGCCGGCGTCATCGCCGATGGAATAAATCATCAATGAGAGGTTTGTTATATTGGTAATATTCTTGTTCATTTAGTATTGTTAGATAATGATAGAGTTAGTTAGATGAACTAACATAATCAGTTTCTCTTATAAGATACAAGTTCAGATCTGTTTACTATGATAGAAGTGAATCTGTTTGGAATGGGTGATTTTAAGGTCTTCTTAGCCTTACACTTACCCCCAATGGCAACAATTAAATCCTAGAACCATTCTATCAACCCATAACTTATTGTTTCCTTCACTATGGTTTCCTGCTCTTGAAAAGATTCATTTTTTGTTTCTTGAATTTGCAGATTAGGATAAGAAAGTACTACTTCTACTTTCCCCTCTAACTAGACTTTGTTGCTTTTCATTAAGGGAATACTAAGCAGTTTCTTGACAGGAGAAGGTGATTGAATGGCAAAAGTTTGTTGGCCATACTTTGATCCTGAGTATGAGAACTTCAGCAACAGAATTAACCCTCCAAGGTTCACAGTTAACTTCCTTTCAAATACAATACTTGTTTTCTTTTCCAATGATCCTGCAAAAAGTTTAAAATCTAAAAAAATGCACTGATTTTTTTTAATAAATAATAATATGACGATTTTTAGTATTGGCATTTATGGATACTGATATATATTGTCATACTTTTCAGTGTCATTTGACTGCTTTAACATAATCTTAAAGGTCAAAAGGCGAAAGAACTGCACAACATAAATCTAAAAGCTTCTTTTAGTTCATAATGACTAGCTCTTGTTTTGTCAAAAAAAAAAAACTAGTCCTTTGTTACAAGGTAGATGCTATCAGTTCAATCCCTAGTGGTGTCATAGGTTAAACTCCTTGTGGATTTGAGGAATATGGTGGCAATTTTTAATATCTAGAAGAAGTTGCTCGTTTTAGTGAACTCTGTTTCCACTTCGCAGGGTCTCTATGGACAATGATAGTTGCCATGATTGTACATTGATCAAGGTATAATTCCTCAAAATAACTAATTAATTCTAATATTTTTCATGGCCTCATTCTGAGTCTTAATTTGCCAGCTGAAGGGAACCTAGCCATTGGATTTTTAAGTCATTTGTACCTTTTGGCTTTTTGTGGACCAACAAGAGAGAAAAAACATGTAACATTTTTTTTATACCTAACCTAACTTCTTTGAATTAAACTTACTGGCCTTCAGTCAATTCTGATACGCTGTCTGGATTTCCTATGATTAGTTTACTTTTGCAGAAACATGCCTTAAGCAACATTTTCTTTACTAAAAACTAGTTGAAATTTGAAAATTCAAACTGAAAGCTTGTTGAGAAGATAGAACTTCTGTTAAAACCTCTTTCAGTGAATTGCTAAATAATTTCTTCATTTCCTAGTAAATTAGGCAGCACATCAGGCTACATCAAGTGGCCATCATCATTAGATCATTTAGTTTCCATGGTATTGACATGGAGATAAGTTGATGCAATATATAATGGATTCATTTTACTATAATGCAGATTGATAGTGTCAATAAACCAGGAATTCTGCTGGAAGTCGTGCAAATCCTAACAGACCTTGACTTCATAATCACCAAAGCTTACATATCTTCTGATGGTGGATGGTTTATGGATGGTACGTCTGCAATTGAATTCGAACTTGAACAGAAAATGCATTGACTTATACTACATAGATGTCTCGTTCATGCTTGTTATTTATTGTTTACTTAATTATAATCTGGTAATTATTTATTGCAAATGTAAATTTTGGTTGCAATCAACATGATCTTCAATTTTTTTGACTACATATGTGAATATCCCCATGACGTATTTATATGCTTGTTTTCATATTTTAGTCACCAAGATAGGAAACTCATAGGTTATTAGATGAAGTACTTGTACAATAAACAGAACACTTGTAGTTCTTACCGAGATAGCTACATAGGTATTGTCTCGAAAGTGAATTTGATATGGCCTTATTGTCAAACCCTTATTTATATTCTCTGTCTCTCATTCACTCAGCTATGACTTTAAATTATGGTCACAATTCGATGTTTTTGATGTTGCATTTTTCGGCAACTGAAATATCAAGGGTCATCACCTTGTAAACTTTGTACAAAATATGCACATTTGTGCTTAGACGTGCAAGAACTTCCATATTAAAAGTTGTTACTAATATGTTTAGTTAATGTAATAAACAGTATTCCATGTCACGGATCAGCAAGGAAAGAAGATAACAGACATCAAAATTATCGACTTCATTGAAAAGGTATGTGTCTTCGTTGTCCTCTATTTCTATCTGAGATGCTTTTAGTAAAATCTAGCACTGCTTTCAGTAGCCTTTATCTTCATCTTAGAAAAGGAACCATGCAAGAGTTGCCAATTCTTATTTTTGTTTTCTCAAAAGCAAGGATAGGAGTAGAAACCAGATATGCACTGTGCCCATCTCCCTTTTTGAGTGTCTAATGCACTTCCAATCTTTAGAGAGACTTTATAAACACAGCTATGAACATCCAAACTCCCTTACTGACAGTGTTCATAGTTCTAAAAGAAACCTTTGATCAAATTCTGCTAGTATCTACCCTACTATATCCTAAACAGAATGTAAATATCAATAATATTTTAAAATTACGAAAATAGAATGATACATAATATTTCTATTAAAATCAATAATTACATATAGCCGAAACACGTCCTTGTAGCAACTTAAGTATGTTACACACATCAAATACTAAGAACTTGTTTGTGAATACTTAAATAGGCTCTAGGACCAAAGGGCCGCAAAAGCACAGAAGGTGGGAAGAGTTGGTCAGGCAAGCGAGTTGGTGTGCACTCCATTGGTGATCATACAGCCATCGAGCTCATTGGTAAGGACCGCCCAGGTCTCTTGTCAGAGATCTCAGCTGTCCTTGCAAGTCTCCAATTTAATGTGATTGCAGCTGAAGTTTGGACTCATAACAGGCGAATAGCATGTGTTCTTTATGTCAATGACGCAACAAACCAAGCTATGGATGATGACTCAAAAAGATTGTCTATTATTGAGGAGCAGCTCAACCACATCCTACGTGGATGTGAAGATGATGAGAAAGTGGCTCGGACCAGTTTCTCCATGGGTTTCACTTTCACCCACATGGACAGAAGGCTCCACCAAATGTTGTTTGCTGATAGAGATTATGAGAGTGCTGGAGTAACCACAACAAATGTTGATTATCCTCCTTCTTTCAGGCCTAATATCAGAATAGAACGTATTGAAGAAAAAGGCTACTCAGTTGTTAGTGTGAAATGCAAAGATCGGGCAAAATTGATGTTTGACATTGTCTGCACTCTCACTGACATGGAATATGTTGTTTTTCATGCCTCAATCTCATCTGAAGGCCCTTATGCATCACAGGTATGATATGTAACGCATGCATCAAATTAATTACTAATTGACAAAATTTGAAGTGGACTAAGTTGTTGATGCTGTAATTTTAGGAGTATTTCATCAGGCACGTGGATGGGTGCACACTTGACACTGAAGGGGAGAAAGAAAGGGTCGTCAAATGCATTGAAGCTGCTATTCAAAGAAGAGTAAGCGAGGTAATGTAACTTACAGTTTAAATTTGATTTTTAAGAATATGCTAGCTACATTAATCCTTAGTAAAAAACAACTCAATGACAAACTCTGCTTCTCAGCTCTTATTAGTAAGTCTTTCCTGCTCTATTAACGAACTTGGATATTTCTTTTGACATATACAATTCCCCGTAGCTTCATTTGTACGTGTTCTTCTAGCTGAAGTCAGCAATCTACTATTCTTTTCTGCATGTGATTCTTCAGCAGAAAGTCTTCTGAGTTTGACCAAATTAATACATTTTGAACCTGCAGCTATCTGCTTGTTTTGTTGCGAATGGTACGGTATACATACATGGTGATAAGTTCCACTCAGATTGTATCTGACCATCGTATCCACCAATGAATCGGTGACGGTTGATGGTCTTTTGTCTTCACTAGAGCTTAAGAATCCTTATGCTCCACACGTAATACCATCCACATCTCTGTAATCTCAAAATAAATAAAATGTTAAATATATTTTTAGTTCTTATAAACTCATAATTGTCTAGCTTTAGTCCTTTTAAAATTCTATTCATTTTTAATCTCTATTTAACAAAAACTGTGTGATTTTAATTATTTCTCAACAGGACTAAAAATACACAGTACAAATGGTAAAAGTTTTATAGACTAAAGTTGAACAGTCGTGATTTTGTAGGGGCCATAACAAATTAATGGTGTTGAATGTGACAAATGCATGTCATCATCAGTCATATATAAAGCTGAATCTGCTATCATGCATATTGTTATCATCTTCTAAGTTTGACTTTTAATTATTCTTCATACAATAAATGAATTAATAAATGAATGATGAAGAAAATAACAGATAGAAGATGATAGTGTTATTACCATTGATCCTCTGGATGATGGACACAGGGTGTGAGCCTTGAGCTGTGTGCAAAGGATAGAGTGGGCTTGCTGTCTGAAGTGACTAGGATTCTACGAGAAAACGGCTTGACAGTTTGTAGGGCAGGTGTATCAACTATTGGAGAGAAAGGACTAAATGTTTTCTATGTGAGAGATGCATATGGAAACCCTGTGGACATGAACATTATTGATGCACTGCGTAAAGAAATCGGCCAGACTGTAATGGTCAACGTGAAGAAGGTACCAGCCAACACGAAAGCACCAGAAACATCCCGAGGATGGGCTAGAGTAAGCTTCTTCTTTGGGAACTTGTTGGAAAGGTTCTTGACTTGATTAGAACAAGTTGAGAATCATGCACCTGGTTCTGGTTGATGTGATTTGTAAATTACACAACACAATTGTATTTACAAGAATAAAGGTGTTGTGTGTCAAATTTGGACAGTGCTTAAACTTGGTCCTTTTGTTTCAAACCTAACAATACTTGTAAGATGTAACTTGTGTTCCCTCTTCTGTATCACGTCCATCTCTCATGTATACTGTTTTGACTTCAGTTTTTAGTGCCATTTTTACATGAGAGATGTTGAAATTATTGGCCAAGATAGTTTTCAGACTCATGTGATCATCTGGAACAAATTAACAAATTAGTTATGTTGAAGGCTTCATTGTTGAGCAACAATGGAGAATTTGTTTCATCCTTTGTAAAGTGACAGAGTCTCTTAAACATTTATTTTTTGATTGTCACCCATTTGAACCAGTGTGGTATGATATCTTATTTTGGTTTGAGTTTTTTATTTTATTTGCTGGGATAAATAGTTTTTACTAAATGTTTTGTTCCACCTAGGCTAAAATTCCAACGCGTCATGACTCCAGCTTATTCTTTTCTTCCTGCGACATTTATTTTTCTTGGACCGTCACAAAACACGGACATGTTTCTGGCGATTGCAGTTGCCCAACCCGACTATCCATAGGGGTTCGCAAATCCCTTCGTCTTCTTTGCCAATGGGACAACCTTGGTTATTTTTCTTTCTAGGTGTTATTGACGTCAATTCCTTTCAATCTAACAGTGACGCCGGCATCAGTTCCTGTTGTTGTAATTCCATGTTTTCGGCATCAGTTCTCTCTCTCACCTCCATCCCTCTGATAATTGATTAGTTTCACTCTTCAGACTCAACACTTCCTCGATGATCAACTTCAACCCCATCATTTTGTTTTTTTAATCATTCTTATTACTTTGGTTAATGCATGTATGCTCCTTTTTTAGATTACTTTTTTATTTTGCAGTGTAAACTGTAATTTTTCAATATCTGACATTTTAATTATTCTCATAAAATATGTTGAATATGTGTTTTGATTAAGTTTACCATGCATATATCACACACCATTTATATTATTCTCATAAGTTACATTGCACTCTTGTCATATGATTTCCCTTTCCTTTTTCAACGCTTCAAATGTAGATTTGTACATTTTTGTTAAAATTAATGTGTTGTAACCACTACTATCTTTAGGAAGCATTATGAGAGAATTGTAACCATCACATTATAATGATTGTCTTTATTTAGATTTATGGTAGAGTTGTATCATTAAAATTGAGAGAACCAAAGAGTCCTCATCTTGATTAGCAACCTATTTGTATTCTCTATCAGTTTCATTCAAGCCTATATAAAGGCTTTGTAATGCTAAGATTAAAAGTAAGAAGTGTTTGGTGAATTAAAAAAAAAAGCAGAGTTTTTCAATGGTCATCCACCAGTAGAAGTATAGTACAAAAAGTGACGAAAAGTAGTTTTCTCTGCAGAATCCTGCAACACTATAATTTTTCACATACCACCTCTAGAATACCGCCAACAGAGTGGTGTTAGAGCTGCAGATCCTTGCAGCTGCAGCAAAAATAACAACAGTTATGGCTTCCACAAACAACCCTTCTGTAACTTACAGCAATGTCAAAGTTTTTCTATTTGAAGGAGAGAACTATGATTTTTGGACTGTTAAAATGGAGACTTTATTCACATCTTTGAATGTTCTAGAGTATGTCAAAAACAGCTATGAAGAACCAGCACCAACAGAGGCTGAAAAATCAAAAGAAAAGGCTGAAGAATCAAGTCAACGGCTTAAAGAATTGAAAAAGAAGAAGATCACAGATGTTGGAGTTCTCGGGATGATTCAAAGAGGGGTCTCTCTATCCATCTTCCCAAGGATTATGAGAGCTAAAACATCGAAAGAAGCCTGGAGTATCCTACAACAAGAGTTCGAAGGAGACTCAAAGGTACGAACGGTGAAGCTTCAATCTCTTAAGAGAGATTATGAAAATGAAAGGATGAAGGAGAACGAGAGCCTGGACGAATACTTCAACAGACTCTCCGAGTTGGTGAATCAGATGAAGTCACATGGTGATACGATTGAAGATCGCAGAATTGTTGACAAAATTTTGATCAATTTGACAGCAAGATTTGACCCAATGGTGGGGGTAATAGAAGAAACCAAGGATCTATCAACCTTGACTGTTCAAGGGTTGATGGGGTCTTTGAGATCCTACGAGCAAAGGATGTTACGACATTCTGAAAAATCAATCGAGAGTGCCTTTCAATCTAAACTCAACATTCAGCCCAACAATGATGAAAATAAGCCCCAAATACAAACTAGAGGTGAGTCTTCTAGAGGTGGCAGATTTGGAAGAGGCAGAGGCAGAGGTCGAAACTCACGTGACAGATCTGGAAGAAACGCAAATGGCAGAAGATGGAATGGAGCATCAAACAAATGGTGCAAAATTTGTAACAGCGGTATTCATGACGAGAAGGATTGTTGGAACAAAGGTAAACCGCAATGCCACAATTGCAAGAGATTCAGGAACCTTCAAAAGGATTGTCGTCTTGCAAATCAACAACATGCTTTGTACGCAGAAGGAGAATCTGATGAAGGAAATTTATTTTTTGCTTGTCAAAAAGCATTGTATGAAGAAGGTAAAAATGTATGGTATTTGGACAGCGGCAGTAGCAACCATATGACCGGACAGAAGGAAGCATTTATAAACATTGATTCTTCATTTGGTTCAAAAGTTAAATTGGGCAATGGAGAACATGTCGTAGTGAAAGGGAAAGGAAGCATTGGAGTCACCACAAAGCAAGGAAGCAAAGTCATACATGACACACTCTATATACCGGAATTAGACGAAAATTTGCTTAGCATTGGACAACTTTTGGAGCACGGCTATTCTCTAAACTTTGAGAATAACGAGTGCATAATTTTTGACTCAGAAAGAAGAAGTGTTGCCGTTGTGAAGATGACTAGCAACAGGAGCTTTCCACTATCTTTTAACTATGAGAAAAATGTGAGCATGATGGCCAGAGAAGAGAATGACTCGTGTTTATGGCACAGGAGACTTGGGCATTTGAATTACGAAAGCCTCAAGTTACTCTATCAAAAGAAGATGGTGTATGGGCTTCCAAGAATCGAAGAAAAATATGGTGTGTGCGAAGGTTGTGTGCTTGGCAAACACCACCGACAACCATTTCCAAAGGAAGGTGCATGGAGAGCTAAACAAGTGTTGGAACTTGTACACACAGATGTGTGTGGCCCTATGAATACTTTGTCTCATGACAAAAATAAATACTTTATCTTATTTATTGACGACTTTACCCGCATGACTTGGATATATTTCAAGAGACAAAAATCTGAAGCGATTGTAATCTTTAAGAAATTTAAAGCATTAATCGAAAAACAAAGTGGCAGATTTATAAAGATGCTGAGAAGTGATCGAGGGAAGGAGTACACCTCAAATGAATTTCATAAATTTTGTGAAGATGAATGTGTTGAAAGACAGCTCACTGTTGGATATACACCTCAGCAAAATGGTGTATCTGAAAGAAAGAACCAAACTATGATGGAGATGGCGAAGTCTATGCTACTTGAGAAAGGTTTGCCTAAAACCTTTTGGCCCGAGGTCATTAACACTGTTGTGTATTTGATGAACAGGTGTCCAACAAAGGTCGTGTGGAAAAAGACTCCATTTGAAGCCTGGAGTGGAAAAACACCGTCGGTGAACCATCTTAAAATTTTTGGGTGTGTTTTCTATGCTCAAATTCCTAAACAAAAGAGGACAAAGCTAGAAAAAACAAGTGAAAGATGTGTCTTTATTGGCTATAGTTTCATGTCAAAGGGCTATAGACTTTACAACTTAAAGACAAACAAGGTGATCATTAGCCGGGATGTTGTATTTGATGAGAACGCTTCTTGGAATTGGGAAGAAGACAAAACGAAGGAGAAAACAGTCCATGCAATCATATTACAACAACAAAACCCAACAGGCTGATAATGAGCAACCAGCTCCATGTACACCAAGTTCCTCATCCTCTCCAAGTTCACAAATTTCAAGTTCATCATCTCCCAGCTCAACTCAATAAAATTGAAGGACTTGAGTGATATTTATGCAAGATGCAACTATTGTGTTGTGGAACCAGAAAATTTTGATGAAGCAATCAAAGAAGATGCTTGGAGGAATGCGATGCAAGAAGAAATAAATGCCATTGAGAAAAACAAAACATGGCAGTTAGTTGAAAAGCCAAATGACAAAGAAGCTATTGGAGTAAAGTGGGTGTACAAATTGAAGCATAATCTAGATGGGTCAATTCAAAGAGCCAAGGCTAGATTGGTAGTAAAAGGCTATGCACAACAGCCTGGAATTGACTATAGTGAAACTTTTGCCCTAGTTGGCAAGATTGGATACTGTACGAACAGTTATTGCATTAGCAGCTCAGAAAGGGTGGAACCTGTACCAACTTGATGTCGAAGTCAGCTTTCCTGAATGGAGAATTAAAAGAAGAGGTATATGTGCAGCAACCTCAGGGCTTTGTGACTAAAGAACAAGAGGAAAAAGTTTACAAGTTGAAGAAAGCTCTCTATGGGTTGAAACAAGCCCCGAGAGCATGGTATAGTGAAATTGACAGCTACTTCATTCAACAAGGATTTGAAAGAAGTCAAAGTGAGCATACCTTGTATGTGAAGCATCAAGGTAAAGATGATATCTTGTTGCCCTTTATGTTGATGATTTGGTGTATACGGGTAACAACAAGAAAATGGTTGAAAATTTTAAAATAGAAATGATGAAAAAAATATGAGATGAGTGATCTTGGCTTGCTGCATCATTTTTTGGTATTGAGGTTTACCAAGATGAATATGGAGTTTTTATTTGTCAAAAGAGATATGCTGAAAATATTTTAAAAAAGTTTGGCATGAATGCTGCAAACCAGTTGATATTCCTTTATTGTGAATGAAAAATTAAGAAGGAAGATGGTGGAAGATTAGTAGATGCAAGTATGTATAGAAGTTTGGTTGGAAGC